TTACTGTACATATATATAGTTAGCAAGAACGCTATATATATATAGTTAGCAAGAAAGCTAATAGTAGCCTGGAAGTATGTTGTAGACTACTGTAAACATCAACAACAATGATTAACGGCTAGTTGAATCAATACCCTTCTGACAGTATCAATCAATAGGGAGCATCATTATAGCTTTAGAATATATATATATATATATATATATATATACTTACTGTTCATATATATAGTTAGCAAGAACGCTATATATATATAGTTAGCAAGAAAGCTAATAGTAGCCTGGAAGTATGTTGTAGACTACTGTAAACATCAACAACAATGATTAACGGCTAGTTGAATCAATACCCTTCTGACAGTATCAATCAATAGGGAGCATCATTATAGCTTTAGAAAGGCAGAATCTTGGCCAGAGCTCTTATAGTGGAGCCAAATAGATTGTGTGCTGTAGCATAGTAAGTTTTAAAATGTGTCCATTACAAACTGCTTCTTTTGCATATGAAATACCTTAAAAATAATCTGGACTCACCATGTGCAGCTATTTTGCACTTCTCAATCAACAGCGGACAATCTTTTACTCTTCTGCGGCCAAGGAAAGGAAAGAAACACTGAAATAGATATTTTCCTCTCACGGCTGTAATTTAATAATTTTTTGTTCAGAATGGCCTATTCATAATGTCACCACTTACCTGCTTTCACAGAGAAACCGGGAGCATTCGTATTTTTTATTTGATGAAACAGTGATTATATCCAGAGATCCAGTTGGGGGGGGGGGGAAAGTGGAAAAAAAACACGATCCCTGTTTGATGGCTCGGTTAGTAGTGCGACTCTCGATGTCCTCTTGGCGATCTGAACAGCAGGATGTTCCACATGTTCCGTCGTGCACTCGAGAATCACGATAAGCCGCAGGTCGTCGATGCCCTCGTGTGATCTCCATTTGGAGAGGCTGACACCTGCAACATGCTGTTTTCTGTCCTGTCAAACACAACAACACGAGTCACATTCTCCATTCTCCACACTTAAAGCTGAGTGCTGTGATGGCTTTTCGGACAAGATCTGGCAAATTTTAAACTTTTTTTTTGCCCCGTCTGAATGTGTGCATCTCCAGTCTGACCTTAATCAGCAGTTAACCCCTGTGAGCAGCCACCTGCTGCTCCACAGTCTGGTCAGATTACACACTTGCGAGGCCTTCATACAAACAGTATGTGCACTCTAATTAAGTGCTTTTCACAGTGTACTGTAATCCACTTAAAAGAGTGTTTGGTAGTGGCGTGCTTTTTTCTGCTTATTATTTCCTGTGAAAGGTTCATTGATAGAATTGAAATAGACAGAATAATGTGTTGTGAAATAAAGTGGGAAGCGTAAATACATTTTTTTGATCATTGCTTCATTTCAAATAATTGTTTGAAAAATCTCAAATGTGGACATTTTGAAATAATATACACAACCATTCAAAAGTTAGGCATCACTTAGAATTATTATTAATTTTTAAATAAAGCACTTTTTCCTGACAACAAAGGCCCATTTCCAGCAACCACTACCGCAAATAAAGTTAAAACTCTAACAATTGATGACTATGAAACCCTTTTGCAATTGCACCGTGTTTCCTGTGTAAGAATCACATCTTGAGGATTTCCAAGTTTTCTTGAACTGCAATACAAAGATGAATCGTTTTTTGTCGATGTGTGCAATTGGCTGGCAACAGTTCAGGCTGGGTGTACCCCACCTACTGGCCGAAGTCAGCTGGGATAGGCTCCAGCACGCCCGCGATCCTCGTGACGAGAAAAGCAGTTCAGATAATGATTGGATGGATGGATGATGTGCTATACTTTACAGAAACCGTTAAACTCTGTTGCATGTTTTGATGCTGGGAGATTTATCCACTTCCACTCATCAGCCACTAGAGGATACTGTTGTTACGAGAAGGACTTGGATGGAGGTTCACTCGTTGGATAATAACCTGGCCAACGTTGATTTCGCAGTTTGGTTAAAGAAAAAAAATGGGCAAAAAAAAAAACATGATTTGAAATCATCTCAACCAAGAACGCTTCAAGAGTCGTCAAACTGCATCATAATTAGAGCCCTGCAAAAATATATAGTTTTTGGTTAAAAATTGTAAATAAATGATATTAATAATCTTATCATTTGGGAATTTTGAAACAGAAGTGAATTAAAATACTCCTCTTGTGCTCGTATGCTAAGACATAAAATTGGCAATCGTTTGTGTGTGCGTGTGCATGTCGACTCGGAACGGTGGAGTGATTCTGACCAACCAGACGAACAACACCTCTGAAGCGCGCTTCATTCTCTTGGTGGCAGGAAAGTAGTTCCGGTCAACCAAGTAGCATAAAAGCAGCCGCCGCTGTCAGTTGAGTGGCGCTTTGGTTCCCTGCAAAGTTCATCTCGAAGGTGAGTGCACATACAAAGTGTGTGTGTAGGACAAACAGTTCAACGTTTTGCTCATAGTCTGCGAAAAAAAAAAAGAAATCATCATCATCATTAACTCTCCCAAACCTTCTTGTAATTTATCTTCACAATGGACTATATTTTTCTCCTTCATGTTCCATTTTGGTACTTATTGGTACTAATCTCTAATTTCATAAACAATTTTGTTTATTATACGGACATTTGGCACCACTACGTTTTAAACGATATTCATTTTAACTTTGTAAAAAAAAAAGAAGTAAGTTTTCAATTCGCTCCTGCTTCAATTTTGCTTTAATTGTATGTATTTTACATACGTTACGTTGCTCTGAGGTACATTTTGCTTTATTTAGGTATAAGTATATTACAACATCGTAGCAATGTTTAAATTATTTCAGTAATTCAATTAAAAGTCAAAAAACATATTGATTGATCAAACATAATCACAGATCAGTTCCTGTCTAACTTGTCTATTAAAAAATAATTTAGATAGTTTCTTATTCAAAACTGCAATTTCTTGAGATGGTGAATTGTTTTTTTTGTTAGCTGTAAATTTAAATAACTAACTTATTAAAAGAATACATTTTAATCTGCTGAATGCCTCATCGCAATTTGAAATAAATTTTCCACACTATTCGAATTTATTGAGAAACACCTGTGTAATTACAAGTACACAGTTACAAGTGCGCACTAAACGCCACTCCAGCCATTATTAATATTTACATCTGATTTGATGATATATGATCAATAAACCTACCGTAGTTGACTTTTGCACAGTGACATTTTGACGATTACATAAATTCAAATTTGTAAAGAAAGAAAAAAAAACCACAGTCATAGTCCACTGTCCAGAAATACTCCCAGATGGTTATTTTTGGCCAGTGCTGGTAGTGAGAATGGGGTCCGAGCACGCTTGGTGTTTCCAAGCACTGACTTGGTTCATCATGCCTCGAGAATACGCCAACAGTCGTGAAGTCTCGCTTCTCAACAGTACGAGTCCCCTTTGTGACCGTGCTTCAACCTTGTGTCAAAAGTGACCTGATCCTCCTCTTCTTCAGCTCCACATGAACTCGCAGTGGAATGTGGAGAGTGCAGCCAGGCAGGCGCTTTGCTGTCCTTGTTGCTTTATGCACATGAGGTGTTTAATCAGCTCGCACGAAAACTTGTCTCACTGGGCATCGGTCCACCTCGGCCATTGATTTCTTTTTTTTCCTTTTCTATTACTTACTATTTTCACATTACTGTAAGTGTAAATATAGACCATGCTGAGATTTTCTTGCATGTTATTGGCAAGCATCTCTTTGTCAGGAAGCATATTTGGTAACATTTAAAACGACATCGCCCCTAAGGCAGCAGATTAGTAGACTATGATTTATTTGAGCCAATCAGCAAAGAAAAATAAAATAAAATCCTAAAAGTGTGATGCCTTATTGTCAGGCAGAATCCTCGCATCTCCAAAATCATTGCATTTCAGGGAATCAAAAAAAAAAGAACTTGCTTGGGTTATCAAGACCACATTGTTAAAATTGAAAATATAAGACAAGATAAAGACTTTGCTTTCATCAACTTCCCAGGCTCTTTTTCAAAGGTCTAAGAGCCATGAGCGACAAAACAAAACAAAAACAAAGGCATGCTTGCTAAGAAAGTCTATTTATTTCATATTTTATAGCTCCAAAACTTGACATGATCGAGAAACACGAAGATCAATTTTGGATTCTGCAGCCAAAAATTTGTCCAAAAAGGTGTCAGACCTAATTCAACAAAAAATTATGTTCCCCAATGTAATTTATAAAAATAACAGACCACACGAGGAGTAAGTATAAAATTGACCATATTTATACATACGGTGCAGGATGACGTTTCCACCCAACAGTGACGATATCAGAACAAGTGGTTTTCAGAGGGTTACCATAGTAGCCAAGTATTTTGATTAACACTGTCAAAGCGGGATTAATTTAAAAGGATGTTTGATTATTGTGGTTGAAGTAAACTACATTAGCACTGGTCATCTTGATCCATCATGCCAATAGAACGGATGTCCTAGATCTACTTTCAATAGGTCTCCGATTGGGCTAAAATGAATGCCTGTCATTGTTATCAATGAGAAATCAATCACTTCCTCTGACCTCTTTCTGCAGTCGTAATCCCGAAGGCACCAATCATGTCGAAGTCTAAGGAGTCCTCCGTCATCCACACCCAGCAGCTGCACGCCGCCATGGCCGACACCTTCATCGAGCACATGTGCCTGCTGGACATCGACTCGGAGCCCGCTGTGTCCCGCAACACTGGCATCATCTGCACAATCGGTCAGAAATACACGCACACACAAACGCCAAGTCCATGAAAGTCAATTCGAGTGACCCCACTTGATGTCTTCGACTTGTAAAAATGTTATCGTGCAGGGCCTGTCTCTCGGTCTGTGGCCATGGCCAAGGAGATGATCAAGGCCGGGATGAACATTGCAAGAATGAATTTCTCGCATGGCACACATGAAGTGAGTGCATTGGGGTTTGTGGAGGGCGTTCTCGGGGTTGGTGACATAACCTGTATGTGTACTTCAGGGGAAAGGTGCCGTTGTCGACCACTAGTTTACATTACACAGTTGTAAATATCCATCCATCCATTTTCCGAACCGCTTTATCCGCACAAGGGTCGCGGGGGGTGCTGGAGCCTATCCCAGCTGTCTTCGGGCAGTAGGCGGGGGACACCCTGAACTGGTTGCCAGCCAATCGCAGGGCACACAGAGACGAACAACCATCCGGGCTCACACTCAGACCTAGGGACAATATGGAGTGTTCAATCAGCCTGCCATGCATGTTTTTGCAATGTGAGAGGAAACCGGAGTACCCAGATAAAACCCAAGCAGACCCAGGGAGAACATGCAAACTCCACACAGGAAGGCGGGAACCGGGATTGAACCCACGACCTATGCACTGTGAGGTCGACGCACCAACCACTGGACCACCCACCGGGCCGCCCTTACAGTAAATATTTGCATTAAAAACACTTACAGGCCGTAATTAGAAAAGTATCAAATGAAAAATAGTAAGTATGGAAGTAATTGAGACATACTTGTTCCCCATGAGGCAAACTCAGTGGCAGATTTACCGTTAGGCAAGCAAAGGCAATTGCCTGGGGACTTCTAGATTCATAAAAACTAAACGT